TAATCAACCTGGTCAATCAGAAACTTCTAAACCATCAGGAATTCCACCTACCACCTCATCCTGAATATCCTAGTACAACAGGAATTTCTGGCAGTCCTGGTATTCCAGGCTCATCCGGATATCCTGGTACGCCAGGAATACCTGATATTCCTGGAAAACCTGGCAAACCTGGTATACCTGGTAAACCTGGTAAACCTGGTTCTCCTACCCCATCTCATCCTGGATATCCCGGTATTCCCAGCATTCCCGAAACACCTGGATATCCTGGATATCCTGGAACATCTGGTTATCCAGGCACGCCCGGACAACCTGGTCATCCTGGAACATCTGGAACACAACTACAACCTGAATATCCCGGAATTTCCAATAAACCTGATAAACCTGGTAAACCTGGCAAACCAAGCAAACCGAGTCATCATGGCTCTCCTGGTACTTCCAAGCCAGGTATATAATTTAGTTGTATATTTTTTTTATCTTTTTATCTTACGCATTTTGAACGAAATTAAAAAAGAAATAACTATTAAATTTTAGGTCAGCCCGAATATCCGCCATACCCAGGATATCCTCTCGCACCTGGTGGTCCATCTGGTGGCATAGGTCCTGACGGCCCTAACGGTCCATGGCCTAATGGTTCGATCGGTCCTCAAGGTCCAGGCGGACCTGAAGGTCCAGGTGGCCCTGAAGGTCCAGGTGGTCCCGAAGGTCCGGTTGGTGGAGTAGGAGGAATAGGTGGTGATGGACCGCCTGGTCCTGATGGCCCATGGCCGACAGGATCCCCTGGTCCGGATGGGCCATGGCCTGGTGACCCGGATTACGTTCCTGGTGTTGCTCCAACAACACGACCTCGATATGAAGGGCCAATCAAAGTTCAATATCCCATTAAATATTACGAACCTACAACGCCAACGACTGTTGATAACCATTCATTTTTTGGTCAGAAGCAGCTAGACCGACTATCTTCTAAGTACAATTCGGAATATATTAATAATCACACTCTTAATGAAAATTACGAAAAAAATGTTGAGTCCACAGTGTTAGCGTATCCAACAAAAATAAGTACCTTCGGTTTAAAGGATGATCAGTTCAGGAAAGACCAATCAAGAACGCGTGGTTATCAGCAAGGACAAGTGAATCAAAACGCGGATGAAATTAATTCCTTGATGTATACACGACGAAAAGAATCACGTAAATATAAGGAAGAGGAAGAACAAAGCAAATACGAGGATGTTCAAAAAGTGATATCGCAAACTTCTCAGACCACTACTGGCGTTAAATATCCTAGTCGAGGAAGATTCCAAGGTTCCCGCGAAAACCGTAAATATCCCCAAGAAATCATTAAAGTGAGTGAACCGGTGATTCAAATAGAGACAGATCGCGGACAACAGGCCAATGTAAAGTATCAACCACCAAATGGAAATCATGTCGCGTTCGCGAAACAGGTAAACCAATTGTCAGAACAATCTATCGAATCAAAGCCCGAGCTCGTCGCGATCGGCGTTCATCCACCGAACACGATCAACATCAAGCCCTACCAGCAATCTATAGGGCCAGATCCGCAAACCTGTCCCTGCTATCTTGTCGAGCCGAGCAATAATACAGCAACCACCACGAGCACGACATCCATTCCTCTGATTGGTCAGCTTGGCTTCATTCCCGTGGTGTTTGTACCGTACTGTCCAGGCGACGATGTGACGGACAACACTCAAAACATGAAAGACATGTTCCCCTCCGCAATGCCTGTCCCATATGCATGCGACGCATGCGATTCTCAAAACGGGAGAGTCGAGACGAAGCTTGTCAGCCTAAATCAGCTTGGCAATATAGAGAATCTTCGCGAGGCGTTGCGGCAAGCGAAACTTGGCTTTTTAAATGTTTCAGCACGCGGTCAAACCGAAAGGAGAAGGGCAAAGTTACGGAACGTCAAATGAAGAGTGTGATTGCAATTCACGGATTGTAAATCGTTACTCGATTACGAAAGAAACCACGCGTTCGCGTAGTACGAACGATTCGTAAAATGATCAAACGGTGCCCGTCCATTAGCTGCTGGACAGCTGACGGATGGCCAAAAGGAACAAGGTCAAAAGCCAATAAGGGATAAATCATCGTCTCAGAAGGTAATCATGATCTGTGCGTTCTTGTAAAATCAGATAGAAAGGTAATTAATTGTGAAAGTTATAGGCAATTTGCGATAAGCCTTAAAAGAATTCTAACAATAGTTTTAAGTTCTAGATTGTAAGAAATTGATCGAAAACATTACCTTCTCTTTTACCGATTGAACAATCTATATATAATAATTGTGGATGCAATTTTCTTAGGATTTAGAACTCAGGGATTTGAAACTTATTGTACATCAATAGTAACAATAGTAAGGTTTCATTTAGAACGCTCGATTGTGATTATCCAAAGATAATGTGCCGATTAAAGCGTGACTTCTTTACTTTTCTCTGTTTTAACTTGGATATTAATTTATTTGATAATTGGTAATTAAATGTTGAATGTTGGAACGTTTCTGTTTTTTATAATAATGGAAATTCTAATTCTAATATGGTTTTTGTAAGCGCTTATTAATAGTAATATTATTATTATTAAAATTATTAATAATATTATTAATAATATTCTATACTGAATTAAGATTTATGTTTCGTGTTAGCAAGAATGAATACGAGAAAGTTAATAACAATCTTAAAGTTAATGCAGGGAAAAGTATTAGTATCTGCATTTTTTGTCATAGGAACATTTATGCAAAGCAAAATTTGTATCACATTGAATTTAAATGTTTTTGTAATTCTTTTTTTTTTCGTAGCTATAATAATGCAAATATATATATATATATATTTAGTTTATTTTTTTAGTTATTATATTGCTTAGTATTTAATTTCAAGAATACTATTTCATTTCCCTCGATGTTGAAAGCATTATGTGAAAATTGATATAAATTAATTATAGAAATTTTTTTTTTCGATTCAAAATTATGCGAACGTCGCGAGAAATGAAATCATCCATTGCGCTTTCATGCTTAACGTACGCTTGAGATTAAATATTGATTATACAAGTGCTAATACGTTTTATTGAGCACGTACAGAATAATGGTTCATGATCGGAGAAATTTCAAATTTCCAAATTATAGATATACTTTATAAAAATTGAATTAATATTTAACTGTACATGCTCGATATTTTAAGGAAATAATTATATTTGTACATTGGATATAAGATACGTATAATATGTATCTTTTTCTGTAGCATAGAGATCGACGAAATTTTCAATAAATTATATATAATTGTACATATTGATATTGCGTTCATCCAATGTTCCTTATAAGCATGAATCATGTATTTTTTTTATTAAATAAAACTAATCATGAAACATTTTAGATCTTCTTTCAACACAACATTTAATCAAACACAATTAATTCTAAAGTAGAAATCCTCCTCATAATTCCAAACGAATTATAATTTTATTCATCATTATTAATTAATATACATATAAATTACACAAAATTATTGATACGAATACAAAATTACAATCTATCGCGTTAATTAAAAGATTAACAGTTAAACTGGTATTGGCAAATACTGTTGTTATGATCGTCTTATAATATCTTCCTTAAAACGACAACGACGAAAGAAAAAAATATTATAAAAAATATTACAATTCATTCTCGTTCAATTCTCAAAGATAGACTTTAAGAATAACCTCTGTAACCGGATGGATAACCGGAATAACTTCCATAATTGGTGTTACGATATCCATACGGATCGTAGTTACTTCTCAAATTGTACGATGATCCATAACTTGATCCTCCGTATCCGTTATACCCCGTTCCATATCCGCTATATCCTGTTCCGTAGTTACCTTTTCCGTAACCAAGATATCCATCATTGTAGACCGGACTATAACCACCAGGTGCATACCCATAACCGCCATAGCCTAATGTGCTTCCATATCCACTGTTGTATCCACCGTATCCACCATAACCACTGTTGTATCCAGGATAGTATCCAGTATTTCCATAATAGCCATATCTGATATATATATATATAAAAAAAATTTGACGAGATTGAAATATTTATCTCAATACAAAAGGAATGAGTAATCGAACATGCGAGAGAGAGAGAGAGAGTGTGTAGAATTGACACGGTCGAATAACGGAGTTAATTAATTATTACGTAGATTTTAAAATATTTATTATAAATTATGAAGCGAGGATCAATAACGTAGATACGTGATGATTGAAGATAAATGTTCGATACGGTGGATAGTTAGAGACTAATAAAGCTTCCTCAATAATTTTCCGCGCGTAAGAAATTTAATCCATTTGATCGTATAGATTTCGGTTAAATATGTCTCCTTCATCGAAATAAATTCATAAAAAAATTAGAACGTACAACGTTCCGAATATGAATCGAACATTAGAGAGAAAAAGTCTTGTTAGCGATAATATAATGGAACAAATGTATACGTTACATTTTTATATTATAGTACAAAAATTATTGTATTATTGTATTATTGATCATATGACCGAATTGTACTTTTAGATTAATTTAAGTTTCTTTCACTTTTATCAGATATCTCAATCTTATCCTAGAATAAACTTTTTACTAGGATTATAAGAAAGATATACAATTATTGTTCGATAAAATATGTTGTCAAGAATTTTCTTATTTCTCAAGAGTATGTATATTTTCAAATATACTTGAGATCTAATATTCTTTTAACTCGTTTAATCCAATAAAATTTCAACAAAATTATTCCTCGCGTAAAAATGAAGAAGAGAATAAGCTCTTAAATCGAAAATACGATTCAAAAGTTGTGAATTTATTCATCAAAGCATCCTGGTATAATCGATATTGCAAAGTCATCAATCATCGATCAACCTTATTCAGCAACCCAGTTTCTTAGAAGTCAATCGCGTTTATATGCGAGCCTCACCCTATATGGCCTCCCCCAATAATTCCACCTGGATAGCCACCCGCTGGATAGCCACCCGCTGAATAGCC